CTGGCAGCTGCGTTCTTAAGTTCCCCATGTAGCAAATAAGCATCCTCCACTCTCCCAGCCTGGCACAGAGCCATTATGAACTTGTCATAGGTGGAAGCACGAGGCACGAAATTATTCCCCACAGCAAGATACATCAACTCCTTCATCTCATCAATCTTGCTCTCCCTACACAAAGCACTCGCAAGCGTGTAAAACGTCTGCTCATCAGGAAAATAACCCCGAACAACTGAGCTTCTGACCACGCTGAACGCCTCCTTAACACTCCCATCCCAGCACAAAGTAAGGATCAAATACTTGCACGCCAAGTGATTGAGAGACAAACCGAACTGGGAGCGCGAATTGTACAACTCCATCGCGATATCCGCCATCCCCACTTTGCAAAAGAAGCACAAGACAGCATTCATGGTAACCAAATCAGGAGGAATGCAACTCTCATTCATATCCATCAACAAATCATACACCTGCCGGAGCCGATTCTCCCGCAGAAGCCTACAAATCAAAACATTGTACCTAACAGTGGCAGGAATATACCCTTCTGAGTCCTTCTTGTGCTTGAAAAACTCCAACGCCTCATCCACCCTCCCGCTCCGAACAAGACCCTTTATCCAAGTCCCATAAGCATGGTCCAATGGAACCAACCCGGAGCTCCCAAACTGCCTAACTAACTCCACAGCACGGTCAAACCTAAAACTCTCACACAATGCACCAATGATGAAACTCACTTCAGGACCTTGTAACTCGTCCCCACGACACACAATGCTATTGAGATACTCCTCAGCCTCCTCCAACCTCCTCTCTTTGCACAAATGCTTGACAACGATGACACTGGTTAAGTGATTCTCGAAGCCGCGGCGGCGAATTTGGCGGACGACGACGTCGAAGGCGTTGAAGTAGTTGTTGTCGACGAGGGAGTCGAGGAGGACGTGGTAGCAGAAGGCGTCGAGGTCGAGGCCGAGGAAGCGCATGCGGGAGAAGGCTTGGAGGGCGAACTGGGGCTTGCCGGCG